TTGGTCCCCCAGTGCTTTGCTAGCCCCCACATCACTTTGAACTAAAAGAACTCAAAATGAACATGGACAATCTTAATCATGTATCTCTTAATTTGACCCCAAATTACTAGGGATCCTTCATACTGGTGAATGATTACTGTCTTTGTATTTAATGATTATCTTTTGTCCATAACCAGAGGTCATTTTGGGGGGGATCGCGGGGGATCGTGGTCCCCCCGGGTGAGGTATGGGGGCGGGGCACATGACAAAGCCCTGCCCCCTGCTTCCAGCCGCCCCGCTTCCGGCCCTCATTCAGCCAGGAGGAGGCAGGAGAAGAGGGAGGGTAAGTTGCTTCCTCCCTGCCTCTCCTCACCCCTGCCTGCCTGGGGCCAGGGAGGGCCTTCGCGGGGCTTCCTTGCATTCCCACTGGCCTTGCAGGTCCACTGCCGGGCCCCTCATGGGGCTCGGCAGTGGAGCTGCAAGGCCGGCAGCGGCGGCCGGGACCGTTGGGGACGAGGTGTGTAGCCTTATGACACACTTCCGGTGATGTCAGGGGGTGTGATATATGCTAATGAGTTATGCTAATGAGTTCCTCTAGCTCTTTTTCTACGAAATGACCCCTGTCCATAACTATTGCCCTTCATACCAATTGCAATGGAAGAAAGGTAACACTCAGTAGGAACATCTTCTGAGGATGTGGCCTGTCTTATACAAAAGGCACAAGGCATGTTTTGATGCCAGAGCCTTGCAAAAAAACACATTTTCTGCTTAAAACCTTTGTCTGAAATTGTGTTCCTCCCATTGCATAGAGCTAATGGAGAATCTAAGTGCCTGGGAAAGTGCTGAGTTTGTAAACAAATGGTACAGCACAGCTCTTTTGACATTCCAGGAAATGCTTTTTACTTTTAGCTTGCCTTGTTATCTAAATATTTATGAAGAAGCAAGGTATTTTGTGTGCAGGAACATCTTTAGAAAAGAGATGAAGAATTCAGTTGCCTACACAACTAACCCTAACCCTAACCTTTACCCCTTTGATTTGATCAGCACTTACACTTTTGTCCAGGGCTTCTTCATACATTGACTTTTTAAATGTATTCACCTAAGATAGATTTCAGTCCATACATTAAAATGTAAAATGTGAATGCAACAAACCTGTATTTGAGAAAACACACACATACACTCAAAGGAGGAGAGCTGGGATTGGCTGCAACTCTTAACTGATAGCACTATGTCCACTAGCTAGTGCAATGGTTATTAATCATCTATGTACTAATAGCCAAGGGCCCCCTGTGTGTGCGGATACTTATTTCCCACGATCTGGGGCACATGGAGGGAAAACAGATCTTTCAGCAAACTTGGAGCCTTGGCGAGGTTGTCCGGAGCAGCTCCAAACAAGCCACGAAGGGGGGGGGAGTCAGTGAGTCTGACAGCTGCAGGGGAGCCTGGAGAGAAAGTGAGTGAGTGAGTGTGTGTGTTGTGAGATTCCCCCCCCCCCCGGGACAATAGG